CCCCACTTTAAGCTTTCAACTTTGATGTCACCAGTTTCAGTGGAGGATATGGACTACATGTCCAAGGTTCCATACGCCAGCGCAGTGGGTAGCTTGATGTATGCTATGGTGTGTACTAGTTCAGATTTGTCACAGGCCGTGAGCATGGTATCTAGGTACATGCACAACCCCGGAAAGGGGCATTGGGAGGCCGTGAAGTGGATTCTACTGTATATTAAGGGTACCGTGGATATTGGGTTGATATTTGCGAAGAATGATGAGACAGTACAGGATTGTATTGGTTACGTGGATTCAGATTATGCCGGAGATCTTGACAAGCGTCGGTCCACTAAAGGTTATGTTTTTACATTGTCTAGTGCACCAGTGTGTTGGAGGTGTACTCTTCAGTCTACAGTGGCGCTCTCTACTACGGAGGCGGAATATATGGCGGTGACTGAAGCAGTAAAGGAGGCTTTGTGGCTACATGGCTTGTTGGATGATTTGGGGATTGCACAGGAGACCATTCAGGTACATTGTGATAGTATGTCAGCTATCTATTTGGCTAAGAACCAAGTCTACCATGCACGTACGAAGCACATTGATGTCAGATTTTACTTTGTACGTGATGTATTGGATGATGGTGATGTCACGTTAGAGAAGGTCCACACTAAGGACAATCATGCTGATATGTTGACCAAAGTCGTGCCAGGTGTGAAGTTTGGTCACTGTTTGAAATTGTTGAATATTCTTCATTGTTGAGGCCGTTGGCGTCCATTTGGATGAACTACGTTCGGCTTGATTCCTTGGGCAAGAGGATACGTAGGCAGTCTTGCAGATGCAGCCGCTGGGTCGGTCGACCGACGTACTATCTGGAATTTTGGTTGGCTTCTGGATGGAGGGCGGTCGACCGGTCCGGTCGACCGACATGGATCGCGGTCGACCGGTCCGGTCGACCGACGCTGCGGGTTTCAGTTGGGTTCTGTTTCCAGACCCGTTTCGTTTGTGAGTTGTATTTAAACCCTAAAATCGATTCTAGGGTTAAGCTTGGGCGATTTTAAGCTGCTGAAAGGGGATTTTTAGGGCTTCTATTGTTGGAGTCTATTGGAGAGATCAAGTGGTCTTGTTTGAGGGTTTTGGGTAAGATTTGTAACCCTAATTTGTATTCTCCTTTGATTTCATTAGTAAAGCTTCCCCCTCCTTGCCCCGTGGACGTAGGCACATTGCCGAACCACGTATATCTTGTGTTCTTACTGTGATTGGTAGCTTATGATCTCTTGTGGTCTACTATTGTTCTTGTGTGTGCTTTTGATTTGTCTATTTGGGGCTTCCGCGGCGCACAACAAGAAATACTATTGTTTTCTATTAAAAGAGGTTGGACAAACAATTTTCCACGGAAAAATCAGAAATTCCGGAGTCCATTCCAGAAATTGAGGAGAAATTTAGCATAGAATATGTTCACTAAACAACCCATTAAAAAATATATATGACAATCAAAACAGTCAAATGGTAGGTGTAAGGAAAAATGTTCATCATACAGTTTAGCACATCATCCACCCATAATTTAAAGTCAATCATTTTATGCTGATTCTTCAAACCGTCCCCACTTAAGCATTTTAAATACGCATTATTGAAAAGGGTCATTAACCAAATTCTCCCTCAGTTCTAACTCCCTAAAATCATTTCTTTCCTGACTTTTCCCACAACAATAAAACTCTACTACACTATTAGTGTTGAGGATCTACGTTGTCGTTTGGCTCAGAAACCTGCTCAACCAGTCCTCGTTCTCCTCTCTCGTGCACCACCAAGGACCAAAAGGGGAGATCGCCGATCTCCTTCACCAGTTACTCACAAAGGGGGTCGCACAAAGGGGGTGAGAGCACAAAGCTCTCAGGAGCACAAAACTCACAGAAGGAGGGAGATCGCACACAGTAGAGGAGAGCTCAAGTTGTTGGCTCAGAAGTCTGCACAAATCAGTCACTGTTCTCTCTCCAGTGCACCACCAAGAAACCAAGGGAAGCTCGGGTACGGGTCTGGCCCTCAAGAGACCCACAGCGGTGAAAGGGAGGGTTCGCACAAAGCTCACAGGAGCACAAAGCTCTCCGGAAAGGAGATCGCACAAAGGGGAGGAGCACCAAGCTCTAATCTCATCACCGTCTCTACTTCCTCTTCATCCCTCTCCAGAGCTACTACCAACCCATTACCCATATATAGGGATGGGGGCAGCCGACAAGGGAGAGGAGCTAGGGAAGAAAACGAAGGAGTGAGCCGACCTACGGATGGGAGCTCACAAGCGGCGGCCATCAAATCACAGAGATCGGAGGGGATTTAGAGATATCGGGTAGGAGAAGAAAATAAGAGGGGCTAGGGCAAAAGTCTTGGGGAGCTGGGCCTATAGAGTAACGGGCCAACTTATTGGGCCAACAAAAAACAACAATCTCCACCTTTGGCCCAAGGTAGTGCACAGAGGAAAAACACGGAACTGCAGGACTCATCATCGCCAAATTATTACCTGTATAATCACAAAGAAGATACAAGCAATGGAAGAGAATACACTAAAAATAGCAACAATCTCCACCTTTGGCCCAAGGTAGTGCACATAGGAAAAACACGGAACTGCAGGACTCATCATCGCCAAATTATTACTTGTATGATCACAAAGAAGATACAAGCAATGGAAGAGAATACACAAAGTAAACTCAGATCACAAAGATCGGGGTAAGATCACCAAGCATACCAAGTCCACAAAGGACCGAACTCTACCAAACGGTCATCGAGTTCAAAGAGAAAAATCACAAAGCTACTAACAAGCACAAAGCAAGTTAATAGACCACAAAGCAAAGGGAGAAAATTACCCAAGCACAAAGCAAAAAACACAAAGCAGGTTAATAGGCCACAAAGGCAACACACAAAGCATGCCGAGTCCACAAAGGACCGAACTCTACCAAACGGTCATCGAGTTCAAAGGGAAAAATCATTCAAATCATGCATGCTATCTATCTCATGCATATCATGCTCCACCTCATTAGGAATAACATCATCTTGATTTTCAATAATTATTTCATCAGGATGTGATTCATGTTGATTAATAATAGGCATTTGCTCCACCTCATTTGGAGCATCATTTTCAGAAATAGGGATAGGTAAAGGTAAACTAGGAAATTCATAAACAACATCTCTTCTTATCACAGAGTTAACAGAATCAAGCACAGGTTCAGCATGACAAACATACAAGTTATTTTGTTTTTCAGCAGAAAACATAACAAGAGACCCTTTTAGAATTTTCATAACCCCTTTACCCCATTTTCCCTCCAAACCATCATTTTCTAGAGATGCACAAGAAATCAAGTTATAACATAAATCAGGAACATGCCTAACATCCTTCAAAGTAAACACAGAACCAGAAGAAAACCTAAGGCATACATCACCAGTTCCTAAAACATTACATTTCTTTTCATTTGCCATTGACACAAAGCCATTCTCTATTTTCTTGTAGTTTGAAAACAAGTTTTTAAAAGGAGTCATATGAAAAGTACAACCAGAGTCTACCAACCAATCTGATTGACACAAAGAATCAGATAACACAGAGTTCAGATATGCATAATCACACAGATTATAAATCATGAAAATTTCACCTATTTCGTCCTCATAGACAGCCATATTAGTCTGATCATTTTGTTGATTTTTCCTAGGTTTAGGACAATCTCTAATAAAGTGACCGTTTTCATGACAGTTATAACATTTTCTAACTTTAGATCTACCCATTCCATTTTCGAATTGTTTCCTACTTGATTCCCCATTACTAGCATTCTTTTGGTTATTAGACCTATTCTGAGGCCTACCCCTCACATGCATAACCTCATCAGAATTTTTATTTTCCCCAGAATGTTTTAAATCTAATTCCTTACTCTTAAGACCATTGACCACAACATCAAGGGTAACCTCATCTCTACCATATTTAATAGCAGATTTCACATCAACAGTGGTATCAGAGCTCAAGTTGTTGGCTCAGAAGTCTGCACAAATCAGTCATTGTTCTCTCTCCAGTGCACCACCAAGAAACCAAGGGAAGCTCGGGTACGGGTCTGGCCCTCAAGAGACCCACAGCGGTGAAAGGGAGGGTTCGCACAAAGCTCACAGGAGCACAAAGCTCTCCGGAAAGGAGATCGCACAAAGGGGAGGAGCACCAAGCTCTAATCTCATCACCGTCTCTACTTCCTCTTCATCCCTCTCCAGAGCTACTACCAACCCATTACCCATATATAGGGATGGGGGCAGCCGACAAGGGAGAGGAGCTAGGGAAGAAAACGAAGGAGTGAGCCGACCTACGGATGGGAGCTCACAAGCGGCGGCCATCAAATCACAGAGATCGGAGGGGATTTAGAGATATCGGGTAGGAGAAGAAAATAAGAGGGGCTAGGGCAAAAGTCTTGGGGAGCTGGGCCTATAGAGTAACGGGCCAACTTATTGGGCCAACAAAAAACAACAATTAGATCCTCTTCCTCCAAAATTTTCCCCTTACTCGCTCAGAGAAAGAGAAATTTACTGATTTGAAACCTTTGCATGCTGGCAAATGTCACATACTGTAGACGGAATCCTCGAAAACGACATCCTTTTCCTGTAACAGAAGTTGGCACAGTTTGACATGCAGTCATGCATCCTTCACTTGAAGCCATCATAAGCATCGCTTGCTAAGAAGCCCTAAAGCTTATAGTCCCAAGGTAAGAACTCCTGATTATTAGCCAAAAGCTAACTAAAATACATATTCATAACTAAATGAAAGAGTAAACAGGACAACTTCGTACAATTTTTTTTTTCTTTTTTTTACAAATGACCTTACATTGTTTTCTAAATTGTAAGATTTGGTAATATGCAAGACATTAAACTTTATGTCCTATGAACAATCGCCTTGTTTAAAAGCAATAGAGCTTAAGCCGGCACTATCAATTGTACAAAAAACTGGATATTCGTAATTTCCAAGTTTTTTTTATAAGGTAAAGAATCAGCAGATGGTATTAAACGCGTTACAAAACACATTATATATAGTCATTATCAATATATTACCATTTTTTCAATAGTTCAATAGAACAAAGCACGCAAACGGGACAGATAGGAACCGATGTTTAGAAATACAAACGTATTAATACATAGATCACACACAAATATCCTGTTTGTCTGTAGGAAACTGGGAACGACCAAATCCAAACAGAGTTTTTGGCTCCGAAACCGAGGCTTTATTCGAAGCACACGAAGTTAAGCCAGATGAGGCCGTACAGTTATCACTTGGTAGAGATCATAAAAGCCTTATAAAATTATGCCAATAGTATCTAAGCCCTCCAAAGAGCCCAGTTCTGCATAAAATTACTCTCTGGGAGAGTGCTCCTCGGTCCGGCTGCTTCATCAGAAGCAAGGTGATGAAACCTATTTAAAGTTACTTTGTTAGAAACAGAATAGGCTGAGAATCAATAACGTTTTACGCTTGAGGAAATGTATAGAAACATAACATGCTGCATGCCAAAATAAATTGAGAGCAAAAACGTTAGCAAAAACAACAGAAAAAAAAAACTGAACCCTCATGTTGTAAATTAGTGAAATAGAAAAGAAAGAAATGTACCCTATTTCGAGAATTGGTTCAGCGTCCACGGCATAGGGCTGAGATGGGTTAGCAGAGAATGGTGCACTGCCTCCAGGTGCATCAGGTACTTCACAAAATCCTTTGGTGTTTCTCTCAGAGCTATCTGCTGCCTCAAGCTAAAAACATTAAATATATCAGTGCAATTACCACAAAATAATAAGCCTTACATTCTCGCACAAACTCCATTATGATCCTTACGTTCTCACGCAAACATCATTATATAGACGCTTTTATATGTTCATGGGATACACAATACTGAACTGTGTTTATGTCATGGAAATTGATAATAGTCAAAGAGGCAAACGAGGCCGAAAAAACATATAAAACCATTCATGTGCTAGGAGAAGGCAAGATTATACTTCTGAGATTAAGAGGTTTTCAGCAGTGGTACCAGCCTGAATAACTATGCATGATAACATAATTCCTAAATGATTTCACTTCTCCTCAGAAAGTACGATAGAAGAAAGACATTCAAGGAAATGCATACCTTTTTCTTAAGATCTTCCATCTGATCCATCAGTAGTTGAGTCTGCATAATAGAAACAATATGTCAAAGCTGTATTCTCTTTTCAAATTAAAATTGTTGCTTTCTATTGTTTGAGTTAAGTATCAGGCCTTAGATTAATTCTTGTCAATTCAAACATAGAAGCTTCTATTGCGATAATCCATACTTTTGGCTGTCTTTACTATACACACAACATAATAGATGCCTATTCTTTTTCAATAGATGCCCACTCCACAGAAACAATACCACGACCCTACTACTGATCCAATTATGGCTATCTCCTTAATACAACATACAGTTCAATTTAGTGCATGAATTCTTGTACAGCATACCATTAATACTGAAATCAGTATCTTGAACCCTGTGATTCTACCGCATCTAGATAGCATACTGCCCCTACATGTATATGCGTGATGCATGTTTACACATATGGCATCTAATTTTAGCCATAATATCACGTTCCTGATAGAAATAGCGTGTGACAAAACACAGAGCAGTTACAATTGAAATGTGGTCAAAAGGATGAAATATCTCACATGTCTACACATATAGAAAGTAATATAGAATGAAAGCGAAGGAGAATTTTTCATTTTTAGAATGTAGTATAGTAAGCCAAACCTTTGGATGTCATGTTATGTTCCTCATAAGTTTCTAAATACCTATACTCACCGAAATTCTGCTTGAAATCACATAAATCCAACTCAATTTAGAATTTTACTTCAAAGAGGAAATATTTGGCGAGCCTCTTAAGTTATTTCAGGAGTGAATATTTTTCAGTTTTAGAATGCACTATAGTAAGCCAGCAATATGAATAAAAGGAAAATAATACAGGAGACAAAATTTTACATTACCTTCCTCTTCCTGGTTTGTGACAGAGCGGATTCAAGTTGTCGTTCCAATTTCTGTACTTGTCTTAAACTTAAAAGTCCAAGATCTTCTCCAAGCAAGTGCCTGTTGAAAATAATGTAGTCAATATCCCACATTAAGATCAATATTTGGTACGCCATATACCTTGTGAGTATATCTGCAGCTACTATATATAAAAGCTTTTTTAAGTAACAAACTCTTACAATAACTACCGCTAACATAGTGCTTCAGGGATTTGCCAATAACACTTAAAAGGTTATGCTATGGGTCTACTTGTATCAGAAAACGCATACCTCTGGGTCCTCTCTAGAGAAGCACACTGTCCTTTCAATCTGGAGAACTCCTGGTACCAATTCTGCATTTGGAAAAAAAATAATAATAAAATAAAAACAATACTAATAAGATGTGTAATCAAAATTTAAGAGATACCAGTTATTCACCAGATGATTTGGACAAAATGATTGATGAGATTAACTTATTTTGCATGAGGGTAACGAAAGATACCAAGAGAGTATGATGATTCTTCTAGAATAACATACCATGGGTGATTCATCATTTTTAGGAAAAGTAAATTTAGATTACGATGTTTCTCACAAAAAAAATGGATCCCTAATCACAAATTCAAAATATAATCAAAAGGATTTGATAACCACCATAAAATTGAATTACGAAACAAAACATTAGGGATAACATGATATTAGATCCAGTTAGGTTACATGAATAAAGAATATTAGGGAGCTGGGCGGCCCAATAGGTCACATGGCAAAGCCGTGCAGCTCCCTCGTGGGGGACCAGAGTTCCATTCCTGCGAGCGCCAAAGGCGTTATCAAGAAATATATATATTAGGGAGCCGACCATAAGTAGTTGGCTTCTCGTTTTGTCATGATCAACGAGGCAAACTGTCTGGAATCTCAGAGAGTTAAACATCATATTCTGAAAAACATTGGACTAAATTTGAAAATAATTTCACAACTTAGGCCACATCTTTGGTATCTCAAAAACAACTCTCAGACGCAAACCGATAAAAGTTCACATTAAGTATATATTGCAAGACATGGGCATGAAGGTTGTGTTCTGACATGCACATGGAGCATCGAACACTATAATCACCTAAAAATTCATAACATAAGGATATGTGTAGATATTTCCTCTGCATGAACCTGTGTCTGACTCACGAGAGTATAAAGTGCTCATTGCAAACTGCTATTCATATATGAACTAACCCAATTTAGGATTGTGATGTTTACACAATTTTATTTCATTTTTTTTCTCACATGCAGACTTTCTGTTTGATAAGTTGACATTCATACAATCGCTCAAAAATACATCTTTTATGAAAAAGAACAAGAATTACAACTAAATTAAGATCTTTGGAATAAATTTAAACGTAGCAACGGACATGCATTAAGCCATCATGAGGGAAGATGAAGATGAAACTGTTGATGCTTTGCAATTCGAAAAAGAATGACCTTGCAAACTCTTGAGTACTATTTGCTCATAAAATTGGGTTTTCTTTGAAACTAAATTATTATAATGGCAATATCAAGAGAAATAAAGAAAACATAGAACATGAAATTGAGCGTGTAATTTGAGAAATGGGGTTGAGCACTTACTCATCAGATAATGAGGCGGAGAGAAAATGGAATCTTACTTTTGTTTTTTCATTAGAATAATTTGGTTGTAAATTTTCCCACCAAAAATTTTCCATTTCTCCGTAAAGAGGTTTGCGGCCGCTGGACTCTGGATTTCCTATTATTAACGGGTTTGGGCAGAGAAATTTCCGGGTAACGTACCCGAAAAGTCCTCCAATATTTTATATTTTCATAATCACCCCTTCAATGTAACTCTACGTTTAATGTAATTCAAAATCTCCTCATTTTAACAGAAAAGGGGAGTTAGCACTAAATCTTCGCATTTAATATATGATGAATAAATTTACATAAAAGATGTTTTTTAAATTGTAGTATTAACTAAATCTCCACTATTTTTTGATGAATAACTAAATCTTCACTTTAATTTTTTTACTTTTAACTTATGCATCTCACATTGTATGAACTTTTTTTGATGAATAACTAAATCTCCTATTTTAATATATAATGTGAGATGCATATGTTTAAGGATTCACAAATGAGTATACTCTCACATTGGGTAGGACAAGAAAGAGTAATGTACATATAAAAGAGGATTGTCATGTCAAAACTTTTGATTTTCATTTTTCCCCTTTTAGATTTGATAATTCTCAAATATGTCATTGGTTGTAATTAATCATTCACTAATTATCTATAACCTCTTATTCATTATGCATTTGCTCACTTTTTTGAAACCTTTGGTCATACTATTATTTTATTATTTAAGTATGTTATATCATAGAAAATTTAAAATGTATCCCTACTTTGTCTTCACATAATATTTAAAATTCTAGAAAAGTTAAAAATAAGAAAAATGCATTAGGCTTATGCCTTATGCCTTTGAGCTTCACCTCTTATGGAGGACTACATATTATGTCTCATCTTATTAGCCTTTTAAAAGTATGATAATAGCATGAAAAATAATTTTTATTTATTGTAATTGTAATAGTATTAATAGTATAATGATTTTAATACTATTTTTTAAATTAATAAATTATAATTATACAATTTAGTAAATTATTTACTTATAGTATAATAAACTAATTAGTAAATTAAAATGTAAATACTAATAGTATTATAAATATGCTACGTATAATACTGTTATATTTAAATGAGAAAAAATTATTTAATATATGATGATTATTTTAATAAATTATGAATAAATTATATAAATTATAATAATTATCCAAACTATAATAATTAATCATACAGTTCTTTATACATAGTTTTATCATATAATTTATTCATTTAAACAAAATTATAATTGTTCAAAATTTATATTGCTATGCAAGTTATTTTATTATTTTGCAACCAACAAAAAAATTGAAAAACATAAAACAAAATAAGTATGCTTTGTTTTCGTGCAAAGCACGTGCACTATAATAGTGATTTAAATAAGAGTTAATATTAATATCTAACAACTTAAGCTTTTTGGTTAAAAATTGAGTCTAGTCTCTATTGAAGAAGCCAAAGTTGTGGCCCAAGTAAAACTAAAGCTCAATGTAAAGTCTGAAGGTGTTGAGAGGTTGACTAAGGTTTTTAGTTAAAATTGATTTCTAGTCTCAATTTAAGGCCTATTATCTCACCTGTTGTGCGCGGCGGCCAAACCAATGGGTGCCGAGAACAAATACCAATGCCGAGAGGAGAGACCAAACAATCCAAAATAGCGTCACAAACACTAATAAACGAATTTTATGTGTTTCGGAAAGTTACCTACGTCCACAGGGCAAGAAGGAGATGAGTTTTCACTAATAGAGAAGAAGAATGCAAATAGAGATTACAAACCCACAAACTAATCTCTCACACAAAGCTCTCAATCTCTCAAACAAAACCCTAACCAATAGCTCCAAAAAAGGCTCTTTTCTGTGCTCTAAATATCCTCAATACTACTCTCCCAAAGCCCTAAATCATGTTTGGTATTTATACCAAACTCAAAACCAAATCAGAACAGGAAACCAAATTCTGGGCCTGACCTGATTGGCGGTCGATCACACAAAGCTCGCGGTCGATCGCGACTAACGACAGAACCCAGAAAACAATTACAGGGTTTGACGGTCGACCGTGGCAATCAACCACTACCAACTCCAGAGCCTCAGAATCGATTACAGGGTTTGGCGGTCGACCATGGCAGTCGACCGCGACGGTCGACCGCACCAAATCCAAAATCAATCCCTGAGCTGTTCACATTTTTTGTCGACCGGCCTAGCCTCGCAGTCGACCGAACGTCACCAAAAATGTTTTCCTGCATCCAAAACCTGTTCTTCTCTAATTTCTTTACCAATTCTACAATTCTCCACCTCGGTGAAGTTTTTCTAAAACTGAGCCGACACTATACCAACCAAACGTCTCACTTGTTACGTCCAGTACGAAGTGGAACAAAACTACAACAACTGACTCAATCCACAACAAGTCAAGACCCAAATGAGAATGCGAATAATCTCCAAATGTCGGTATCAACTCACCAAACCGGCTGTATCATAAAATGACTGCCTACGTATCTTCTTGTCAAAGGAATCAAGTCTCACGTAGTTCGCCAAATGGCCTCCAAAGGACCTCAATCAACGAGAAGAGTTTTCAACCTTTTTCCAACATCACCAACAAATCCGTGACTGATAACTCTCCCAATGGCCCCAAAATGTAATGAACCAAACACCTCTACCTGAGGTGAACCAATGGCCATAACTAAATTCGAACTGTGTCCACCAGCTGTACTCGAATCAATAAACTCATCATCTGCATCCACATCAATATGATCCCTACTCTGTGTCACCTCAGCTGGAATCCCAAACGATGAAGAATGATCTGGAGAATGTGGAGTAGCATCACTCTCCACCCGCTGTGATATCCCAACGATCTGTCCAATACTCTCTACCTATCGAGAGTCAAATATGACATATCTGCTCAGAACGATATCAGAGTCCAACAACTGATAACCAAACGTCTCTAAATCCCAAATGTGCACTCGGATCAAATCTCACATCCTCAATGTGACCATATGCTGAGCAATCAAATATCCAAAGTAACCCAAAATCTGAAGCAGCTCCACCAGATCCGAATACTCCAAACGCAGCAGTCAGCAACCTATGAATAAGATTGCTTCAATATGTCAAAGCCTCAATACCAGAACTCCTCTGCAAACTAATGCTCGACATAAAAACACCAATCCTCCTCCAGAGAGGAATGGCTCATCAAATCTGCCACCTCATCTCGTCGCCCTAATGTTCCGTCTCCAATGAAGTATCTCAAACTTTCGTGAGCTCGACATAAATGCAGAAAAGAACCCCTACCAAAATCAGAATGACGTATTACCTTTCTGCCAATACACTCATTCCACCTATTGTTGAGTACTAGGACTTCACACCAACGTGACTTGGTTGCAACCCACAAATGCCTAGAATAGTCACCAACACAGGAAACCAAATACCTATTACCTCCCAATGATGGCTCTTTGGAAAACCCCCAAATGCATGAATGAACACCACCTAGAAGACCCTTCGCTTGGTGAATAGAAGTGACAAACTCTACATCGGTCTTCTTGCACATACCAATGTGCTCACAGGAATTCAATCTGCAAATCAAAGCACTCCTCAACAATCTATGCGCAGCATCAACAATCAAATATCCCAGCATCAACAAACGTCACAGTCTAGCCAAATCCAAAGAAGTCGTCAACTCTCCACCAATCATCGTGCTCCCAATCAAGTAGTACAAATTCTTCTTTCTAACGCCCTTCATCACAATCAAGGACCCAAATATGACTTTCAAAGATGCATCCTCTAAGATCACCTGATAGTCTGCTGCCTCTAAAACTCCAAGTGAAATGATGTTCTACTTCAACTGTGGAACGAACCTCACTTCATCTAACTCCCGAATCACCCCGTCAAACATCCTAATACGAACGGTACCGATACCACTAATAGGACATTCATGATTATTACCTATGGGCACGATATCCCCTCTTTCTAACTCCTCAAAGTTGGAGAACTAATCCCTTCTAAGGTAAATATGCTAAGAAGCACCCGAATCTAATATCCACTCTGTAGAATCGGCAACACAAACTGATGGTAGTGTAGGGCACGAGTAGCCAAAAGAATCTGAATCTAACATTCACCTCTGAAGCTTGAATAACTTTCTTCTTATTCTTTCCGGCTTAATCTATAAACTTTGGGCATTCGTCTTTCCAATGTCCATCTTTTTTACAAAAGGCACACTGATTCTTACTAACTGCAGGGTGTGCTCCCTTAGACTATGATCTCCTACTACAGTTTGGATTCTTCCCTCTTGCGACCAATGCCCCGCTACTGTATCAATCAAAGTCTCATTATCCTTCTTCTGAAGCTGATAATTCACAAGTGTAGCGGTGACCTCACTATACGAAAGAGATGTTTTTCCATTAATAAGAATAAGAACGATGGTCTCATATTTCTCAACTTGCAAGGAACTCAATAATAACAACATTGTCCTCATCTTCAATCATAACATCTACATTCGCCAAATCCTCAAGAAGCTTCGTGTAGTGGTTTTATGTGATCACCAATGGAGGTCTCTTTCTTCAATTAGTAGCGATAAAGCCTCCTCTTCAAATGCAAGCGATAAAGCCTCTTCAAATGCAAGCGATTTTTCACACTCTTCTTCAAATACTTACTCTCTAGGATCTCCCAAATCTTCTTTACCGAAGTCTCATTGATCACATCATATTTCAAATCTTGTGTTAAACAATACCTAATCACACCACACGTCGTTCGATTCATCTTCTTCCAAACCTTCTCATTAATGTTGTCTGGTATTCCGTCCAACTCCAAAGTATCTTCCAAATTTTGCGCGTTGAGCGCATACAAGACTTCACATCTCCAAAGACCAAAATTGTTAGTGCCGTTAAATTTCTCCACATCTATCTTCATAGAGTAAATATTCAAACTTTGGACGGTCTTCGCGCCAGAAGTACCCTCCACAACTCCTTCTTTCTCGGCCATCTTTCTCAAAGCACTAACAAACCAATACGGAACAAACAAAGAACAGATCCAAACTGAAAAAAGAGATTCTTATACCTCCAAGTGAAACCCTAAGAAGAGCATCTAAAAGATCTCTACCCTACATGACGGAAACGAGAACCACGGTAGCAAAAATCCCACATTTATCACCAACTAAAACCCTTCCTCCACCTTGCCCAAGCGTAGCCAAAGCTCTGATACCACTTGTTGTGCGCGGCGACCAAACCGATGGGGTGCCGAGAATAAATACCAATACCGAGAGAGAAGGCCAAACAATCCAAAATAACGGCACAAACACTAACAAACAAATTTTACGTGGTTCGGTAAGTTGCCTATGCCCACAGGACAAGAAGGGGATGGGTTTTCACTAATAGAGAAGAAGAGTACAGATAGAGATTACAAATCCACAAACTAATATCTCACACAAAGCTCTCAATCTCTCAAATAAAACCCTAACTAATAGCTCCAGAAAAAACTCCTTTCTGTGCTCCAAATATCCCCAATATTGTTCTCCCAAAACCCTAAATCGTGTTTGGTATTTATACCAAACTCAAAACCAAATCAGAACAGGAAACCAAATTCTGGGCCTGACCCGACTGGCGGTCGACCGCACAAAGCTCGCGGTCGACCGCAATAATGACAACCTAGAAAACAGCGGTCGACCGTGGCGGTCGACCGCTACCAACTCCAGAGCCTCAGAATCGATTACAGGGTTTGGCAGTCGGCCGCGGCGGTTAACCGCACCAAATACAGGATCAATCCCTGAGCTGTGCACGTTTCCGGTCAACCGGCCTAGCCTCGCGGTCGACCGAACGTCACCAAAAATATTTCTCTGCTTCCAAAACCTGTTCTTCTCCTATTTCTTCGCCAATTCTACATCACCAATATATAAACCTTCCTTCACAAGAATACCATGAAATTAATTAAAATTTTAAAATCAAAGTATGAAGAGGGTGATTTCCATTTATTAGCAATAAAATTTCCGGACAAGCATATTCACCGTCAAATGATACCAACGAAATATCCCAATGTATTCTTGATCAAGTACGATAACTCAAACCTGAGGTTCATTTCCAGGGCCCGGATCCATAGCTGCATACGTATAACTATAATAATGCTCTATTGTCTTCTGTATGCTGCAAAAGAAATAATTTATCAATGGAAAAAAGTTTGATCACCAGTCACCATTATGATATACTTGATTTGCAGATAATTTCGAAACAAAATATTGTTAACAACACAGCTAATTAAAAGCCTTATCATAGATATTCAACAAAAGAAAGAGCATAATTAAGCAAGGAGAGAAGATATTTGCTGTAGTTTGAAGTTTGGGGGTTTAAATGTGTATTCAGCTATACAATGGAGCCAAGCTTGTTGCTCTGGCAAATTCATCAGAAGTAAGACCCCTTTGGATCAAATGGACCCATGAACATCATCTAAGGGGACAAAATATCTAGAATGTACGAAAGAAAAATGGAGATTCCTGGGCTTGGATGCAAATGCCAATAAGTACTAGAGACATGGCAATTGCTTTATGGGGTTCTACAGGTAATGACCTAGCTAGCAAACATTCAAAGTTGCTGCAGAGGAGTGAGAATCATAAGTTAATTATGCTCTGCATGATCAGCTCATCCTTGGTCACCAAACTCAGAGTTGGTGCCGAACAGTTTTAATTGGGGGAAGAAAACTTTGCCTAAATGCTCTTTTATCCTATGGCTTGCTGCGTAAAATAGATTATTGACACAATACATGTTAATGAGGATGGGTGTCCTTCAAAGCGACAAGTGTGTGCTATGAAGAATTGGCAAACAGCTAAATAAAACAACCCAAAAATTCAGTCAGGCAGACTGGCGGTCGACCGCGAGTCAGCGGCGGTCGACCGCGAACGTGCACAAGGGTCAGGAAGAGCTGGGAGCTGAAGGCGGTCGCCCGCCACGGTCGACCGCGTGGACCCTGTAGGATTTTTGGGCTCTGTCGTTTGGTTCGATCGACCGTCGCGGTCGACCATGAGTTTCCTATAGCTGATTTGTTCTCTGTCGGGACTGTTTGGGGCTGGGCTTTGGGTTTTCAACCCGGTTCGTTTTGGAGCTGATATATAACTCTAATCCTGATTAGTTAGGTTTAACCAAGGACGATTTTGAGCAGTCTTTTGGAGAGGATTGATGCATCCAATTGTGAGAGATTTGTGAGAGATCTAGAGCTTTATTTTAGGGTTTGATCGGTGAGATTTGTAACTCTATTTGTATTCTCTTGATTTCTAATAGTAAGAACTCCCCCCCCCCCCTCCTTGCCCCGTGGACATAGGCAACTTGCCGAACCACGTTAAACTCGTTGTTCTTGCTGTGATTGTGATTTGCTTATTGGTTGTGATTTATCTCGAGTTATTATTCGTGTCGCTTCGAGAACTTCCGCCGCGCACAACAATTGGTATCAGAGATTCGGGTTGGACTTGGGAACTTGTTCGAAGGATTCGATGTTGGATTCTTAATTATTTGAAGAGTTAGATCGACAACATGGGAGAATCAAGCACATCAAGTTCGTCTCTTACGAAGACGATACATAGTTTGAGCATCAATAATATGAAGATTGATGTTCCAAAGTTCGACGACAAGATCAATTTCGGTTTGTGGAGGTGCCAAGTGATGGATGTGTTGGACGCTCAAAACTTGGAAGAGACTCTTGAGTTGCAAGAGAAACCTGCTGATATGGAAGAAAAGGTTTGGAAGAAGATAAATAGTAGGGCGTTTGGAGTTATTCGGCCATGCTTGACGCCGGATCTTATTTATAATGTGATGATGTGGGAAACACTCAATGAAAAGTATCTTACTAAGAGCATTGAGAATCGGCTTCACTTGAAGAAGAGGTTTTACTAGTCCAAGATGAAGATGGGAGTTTTCATCAGGGAGCATGTTAACAACTTCACGAAGCTACTTTCAGACATGGCCAATATGGATATCATGATTGAGGATGAAGACAAGGCGTTGCTACTTTTGTGTTCGTTGCCTGAGGATGATTATGGTACTTTTATCCTAACTATGATTAATGAAAGAACTACTGTTAGTTACAAGGAGGTGACCTCAGCGTTGGTGAATTATGAGTTGAGGAAGAGTGTTAATGAACACTCCGAGAAGACATCGGGAGATGCATTAGTAGTTCATGGTCGTGGTTCAAACCGAAGCAGGAGGTCGCAGTCTAGAGGTGCACATCGTGGGATTCGTAGGAATCAGTGTGCTTTTTGTAAAGAGAATGGACATTGAAAAGTTGAATGTCCAAAGTTAGATCGAGCCAAGAAGAATAAGGGGAAAACTGTACAAGCTTCAGAGGTGAATGTTGTCAAGACTAGTGGTAACAATTCGGATTCGGATTCTTCAGGCTATTCATTGTCTGCACTGCCGTTAGTTTGTGTTGCCAACTCTACAGAGTGGATGTTGGATTCGGGTGCTTCTTACCACGTTTGTCCTAGGAGGGATTTATTCTTCAGCTTTCAGAAGTTGGAAAGAGAGGATGTTGTGCTCTTGGATAATGGACATGCATGCTCTATTAGTGGTATTGGTACTGTTCGAATTAAGATGAGTGACGGGGTGACTCGGGAGTTGGATGATGTGAGGTTCGTTCCACAATTGAAGATGAACATCATTTCACTTGGAGCTTTGGAGGTAGCAAGCTATAGGGTGACCTTGGTGGATACACGTTTGAAGGTCACATTGGGGTCCATGATTATGATGAAGGGCATCAGAAGGAGTAATTTGTATTATTTGCTTAGAAGCACAGCGATTGATAGAGAGATGACGACTTCATCAGATTCGGCTAGAATGTGGCGTTGTTTGATGCTGGGTTATTTGATTGGTAATACCATGCATAGGTTGTTGAGGAGTGTTTTAACCTGCAATTTGATATCCTGTGAACACATTAGTATGAGCAAGAAGACTGAGGTGGAGTTTGGCACTTCTATCCATCATTCGAGGGGTCTTCTGAGGGGTGTTCATTCAGGCATTCGGGGGGCCTTCTAAGGGAGCATTATTAGGAGGTAATAGGTATGTGGTTTCTGCAGTTAGGAATTGCTCTAGGCATTGGTGGGTTGCAACCAAGTCCCGTTGATGTGAAGTCCTAGAAGCCCGCAACAGATGGAGGAAGTGTGTTGGTAGAAAGGTAACCCGACGTTCTGATTATGGTAGGGGTTCTTTCTTGCGTTTGTGCTGAGCTCACGGCAATAGAAGACACTTCAATGGTGTGGAAATTTTGAGGCGACGAGGCGAGATGGAAGATTTGGGGAGCTGTTCCTTGCTGGAGGAGGATCGACGTTTGATGTCGAGCATTGGCTTTGATGTGCGGGCTACGACATGTTTAGATCATCTTATGCATAGGTTTCCGACTGCTGCATGTAGAGATTTTGGATCTGGTAGAGCTGCTTCAGATTTTGGGTTACGTCGGATGTTTGGCTACCCAGCACTTGGTCACATCGTGGATGTGAGATTTAATCTGATAGCACATTTGGGAGTCAGAGGCGTGTTTGATTATCAAGTATTGGCTTCTGACTTTATTTTGAGCAGGTATGTTATGTTTGACTCTCGGCAGGTGGAGAGTGGTGATCAGATATTTAGGATATCGTAGCGGGTGGAGAGTGATGCTACTCCACGTTAGGTGGAGACTCCAGATCATACTGCATCATTTGGAATTCCAGCTGATGTGATACAGATTAAGAATCATGTTGATTTGGATGCAGATGATAGGTTGATCGATTCGAGTGTAGCTGATAGATGGAGTCTGGATATGGCCATTGATTCATCTCAGGTGGACATGTTTGGATTGTTTCAGTTTGGGGTCATTAGAGGTGCTATCAGCCGTAGACTTGATCATGATGTTGGAGAAGGGTTGCGAACTCTTCTAGTGGATTGAGGCCTTTAGAGGCCATTTGAGTGAACTACGTTCGGCTTGATTCCTTGGGCAAGAGGATACGTATGTAGTTTTTCAGATGCAGCTGGTTTGATCTGTTGATTCAAATGGGGGAGATCACGTTTCAGCTCTAGTTTGGTTCCCGGAGTTGTTGAGGGACTTTTGGATGATTTGGTGTCGGCTCAGTTTTGGTAGAAACATTCGTCGAGGTGGAGAATTGAAGAATTGGTAAACAGCTGAAGAAAACAATCCAGAAATTCAGCCAGGCAGACTGGCGGTCGACCGTGAGTCAGCGGCGGTCGACCGCGAGTCAGCGGCGCGGTCGACCGCGAACGTGCACAAGGGTCAGGAAGAGCTGGGAGCTGAAGGCGGTCGACCGTCACGGTCGACCGCGTGGACCCTGTAGGATTTTTGGGCTCTGTCGTTTGGTTCGGTCAACCGTCACGGTCGACCGTGAGTTTCCTGTAGCTGATTTGTTCTCTATCGAGAGTGTTCGGTCGACCGCCACGGTCAACCGCGATACCTGCGCAGTTGACCGCAGGCTGTTTGGGCTGGGCTTTGGGTTTTCCACCCGGTTCGTTTTGGAGCTGATATATAACTCTAATCCTGATTAGTTAGGGTTAAGTAAGGACGATTTTGAGCAGTCTTTTGTAGAGGATTGCTGCATCCAATTGTGGGAGATTTGTGAGAGATCTAGAGCTTTGTTTTAGGGTTTGATCGGTGAGATTTATAACTCTATTTGTATTCTCTTGATTTCTAATAGTAAGAACTCCCATCCTCCTTGCCTCGTGGACGACGTAGGCAACTTGCCGAACCACGTTAAACTCGTTGTTCTTGCTGTAATTATGATTTGCTTATTGGTTATGATTTATCTCGAATTATTGTTCGTGTCGCTTTGAGAACTTCCGCCGCGCACAACATGCTATGCATGTGAACATTCTACTGAAGACCCAGAGTAATTGGTATGAAATGGTGTAACGGATTGGGGGAGGCTCAAATTCAGAAGTTGCACTTGGCATATAACTCTAGTCATCAACTTGTTGGGGACAGTACTCTTGGTTTTGCTGCTGCTGTGCACAGTATATAGAAAGAAAGAAACCCGTCATCAACTTGTTGGGGACAGTACTCTTGGTTTTGCTGCTGCTGTGCACAGTATATAGAAAGAAAGAAACCCTTGTTGGGGACAGTACTCTTGGTTTTGCTGCTGCTGTGCACAGTATATAGAAAGAAAGAAACCC